AAGTCTGGGCCCCTCGTTCAAGAGGGTGAAAGTTTTGGCGGGAAAAAGCTAAGTCAGGAACCAGAAAGGCTGGAAAGCTGAAATTTTGAGGTTGTGTTTCCCGTCTGCATATAACTTAAAGGTTTCAAATTTACCCCCAGGTTTGCATGGTTCCCACGTATGGCCCCGTGAGAGTTCCTGGCGCAAAAATCGCTGACTTGGGAACCAGGGAAGCTGGAAGGCTAAAATCTTCAGTGAGTGTTCCTAACACATGTACAGCTTAAATTTACCAAATCCAGCCCTCATGTATGCGTGGTTGTCACGCAGGGCTCCGTGAAAATTCTTGGCGCAAATGGCTAACTTGGGAATCAGGAAGCTGGGGAGCTGAAATCTTCAGGGAATGTTCCCGGCACAACTACAACTTGCAATTATCAAATTCAACCTTTCAGTGTGTGTGGTACTCATGTACAGCCCCATGAAAATTTTTGGCAGAAAAATTAACTCAAGAACCAGAAAATTTGGAAAGCTGAAATTTGAACGGAATGTTTCCCGTCCAAATATTGCGTAGACTTCTAGCTTCCCGAACTTCGAAGACCAGCATATAACATATTTCTGTCTTCTGGGTTTCGGAGCAATCTCATTACAGCACGAAACATTGCGAAAATACATGATCGCACGGGCCCACTCGGTACGCATCGCCAATGATTTTGAAATGCTGTATGATGAGTGCTGTATCAGCGACATTAATGGCATTGGTGTGCGCCAACGCCATACAGATGTAACCGCCAGCGAACACACTGCAGCAGTTGCAGCACAACCGAGAGTCGCCCTCTATTATAATTGGTGTTTTGTATTTTTAGAACGATTGATGTGTGGAAATACTGAGGGCTGTGAGGAAATCCTCCTGTATTAGTGTGGACTCAGTATTTGAACAAATGGCAGGTTAGGGCACTGCTTATTAATAAGCCTCATCCTTTCTTCTTTGCACAGGCCTGCGTTTACAGCTTCAAAAGCAGACACACACACACACACACACACACACACACACACACACGCAGCCTTAATTTTACACGTAAATACTGAGTAATGTACCCGGCCTCTGGTTCTTCAATTTCACGTTAAAGCGTATTTCAACTGCATCCTGCTTGCTCGTCTACCTAATATCTCACCAGACATGTCATCCTATAATGGGCCGTCTTCTTGGATTACCTGTGCATTATGGTATTACTGTACAACATTCGAATATAATCTCTCTTTTCACTGTCTTCTGTTCTGTCCTATGATCTTAATTATTCTGTTCAGTAGCATTTAGCCTTGTAATTTATTGCAGTTTAATTGCTGAAATTCATTTTATTTATGCTTAATTTAATTTCTTCCGAATATAGTCCTAAATTTGTTTTTTATCATGTGTTACTTCAGAATAACTTCATCGTTTTTGAACGGAAGAAAATTCAGTTTGAATTTTTTTTTAACTGTTTTTTCTATCAGCCTAAACGACTTAGAATAAGCTTCTGAACTCAATCTTTTCTGGAGTTGTGACCTCGTATTTCTCCTTGCCAAATGTTGATTTTTTTTTCTCAGTACGAAGCAAAGCGAAAGCCTGAAACTACAGTGATTCGCATACATCCCAGTAAATCAAAGCATCATTGTAGCAGTGCAAGCTCCTTTCACCGAGACAGTTACCACATTCTGTGTATAGAACTAATGCAATGCGTGTGTCGTGAGGTCTTGTATTTTGATGCGCTTTAGTGAGTTTACGAGAGAAAATGTTGCTGTGTGTTGAAGTAAGATTCAATCTACATTCTGAGTAAGAGGAGATCGGGGCTTTCACCACATAGTTAGCAGCTGGCATGCCATGTACGCAATCAAACATTCCATAGAATGTATGGTTGCGTAGGCAGGGAGTCACAGTTATAGTTGAGGTGATGGTATGAGGCAGATGTTTGTCAAATACGTGTGCATAGTAGAGTAGAAGGATTCGACTTAAGTGCCATGTACAAAGAGACATTTTACGATGCAGCCTGTTTTTCATTCCTTAGCTGTAAACTGAGTAGATGTATGTCGGCTACAGATGTCTGATGAGTAGAGGTAGGTGACGAGTAGATGTGGTTGTAGATGTGTGTGAAGCTGATGGAAAACGCCGATCTCGAGTGATGGAATTGGCCTCTTATATAGCTGATAGAGAAGGCAATTCCTGGACTGCCAGACGAAAAATTTGGAACAAAAGCTGCTCTCCCAGTCACTAAAAATGTTTATTTCCTAGAATAGAGGTTTGTGGTAGAAAAATAGGCGAAGAAAAGATGATTTGATGGAGGGACGTAGAAGAAAGGGATTCGTGGGAAAGTAGAAAATAAATCATGCTTTATTTTAAATGTAGCTTGATCCTAAAACAGGTGTATTTATCAGTTATAAAAGCACAGGAACGTGTTCATTCGCCATGTGTATTTTCTCCGTTCATTATAATTCTTTCTGTTCTGGACACAAGAAACGTCATAAAAATGGCACTGCTTTCTTGGTCACTATTTTCTTATCCACGCTTTGAACAATGCGATTAAACGCTTCTTTAGTCTATTTGTGCTTCACTTCGCGGCTGAGTTACCCACCTCTCTCCCTCTTTTCTTTCCTACCCCTTGGGCTCTGCGAGATTGTCCTAGAAAATCATAGCAGCATGCGACCTCTGCTGCCGGTCTGTCACAATTATAAGCTTTTTTTTTCATCTGTAATTTTGGGGCAACAAGAAACAGAAGAATATAGGCCACCACATTCGAGAACTACCAGTTTATAAATTCTTAGCTGTGCGGAGGTCACCACGGTCTCGTGGTGTAGTGGTTAGCACTCAGGACTTTGAATCCTGCGACGGGAGTTCGAATCTCCCCGAGACCTCACCACTTTTGCAACGATTCCTCCGTATTCGGTTGGTGAACGGATATTCAGGCTGTGTAGCAATCTAGTTCCCCTTTTTTTCCCTCCTCCCCCTCCCCTTGGTTTTTGAATTTCACGACGAGGCCTCGAATCTTCCGCGACGCTGTCCATGTCGCTTTTATTTTATTCTTGTGCTTGCAAATTATAAAAATATGTGCAATGTGCTGAAGCATAGCTTGTGTTCTTAGCTCACTGGGTGCTCATGAAGTAGTTTCTCTGCTGCATAATGTTGCAAAATGGCAAATTTAAAAGCTCTTTAATAGGCCCAAGTACAGATATTACGCAAATATATTACCTGAGCTTTGTAAAACACTGCTAATGAAATCCGTATCATAACAGAGCTTCGCTGTCTTGGTGGGATAATATATGTATATGAAATTTTCTGTGTATTCGTCTAACAACTGCGTAATGGGAGAAATATCTGGCAGAAGCATGGGGTCTACATGAGTCCGAATCTCTAAAATTCAGTGAGCAATGCGGCTATTATCTGTGGTTCATATGTAGACAATTAACAAAAGGATGAAGATATTGGTTATAATAAGTGTGCATTTTAGAAAATCATATTATATCCAGATGAACAGGAATGTTTTGGATCCATTCAATAAGTCGTACTTATTATTCCTATTCAGCACCACAACTGACCTTATCAAAACAGTGATTGTGACGCTGATATTGATATAAACAGTAATGAAGGAGCAATGGAACTTTTTATATTTTCTTGTATTCTAAAAACTGTAGTCTTGAATCGAAATTTTGACTAATTTTGTGAGCTACTGACGTAGAAATCAAGGGGAATCATGTTAAAAGTACAGTCACCAACGTTTTTAGCGCGTCTTTCCTGTTGCATCAATAATAACTGGATGAAAAAAAAAAACCGAATTATCTTGTTGACTCCTGGCTTTCTATGGAATTCAGACATGTTTCAGCATC